CCCGAGGGGTGAGGGGTGCTGGACGCCACCCTCCGGACGGGGTGCGCTACTGCACCCCGAAGACCTGGACAGGAAGCCTGCAGCTTCGGGCGGGTGGGCGTGGAGGTTCCCCGCCCTGGGAGCCCGTGGCGACCTCGTGTGTAAGTCCCTCCCCTCGGTTCCCGCCGCCCCGCCCCGCCTCCTCCCGTCTCTCCCGCCTCCTCTTACGAGGGGACTTGTCAGCCAACACCTTCTCCGGGTCTGAGTGCAGCAGAAGTCCATCGGAGGAGCTGTACATGTTCTTACATTTCTGTGAAATGTGGGGTGGGGTGGGAGTGGGCACTTTATATGAAAATAAAAAAACATTCACAAACGGGACAGGAGACAAGATCTCCCTGTCACCGAATGGGTACCTCGCCGGGGCCGTACGCTGGCTGGAAACCGCGGAGGTTCAGTGATGATGGTAAAACCCGCCCTTCAGACTGAGGTTAATACACAGGCAAACAGGAAAATATTTGAATTTCAGCTTCTTGCCCCACACTTCTTCCCTGCTCTCCGCTGTCATCTGGGAGTGATTTCTGAAGGTGGGCTGTCCGTAAGTGACCAGACATTTACTGCGGACTTTCTTTGTAGAGTCTGTCATTCCGCCTACAGACTGTTTTCTTTATTACAGAGAATTTTATGATGATCTTCTAGGACCCGGGACGCCGCTCTCTGTGTCCACCTAATACAGAGTCCAGTTTTTCTCTGCCAGATCAGAACCACCTCAATTTCTGACTCAGTATGGTCTTTGCTTTCTTCTTGGTTTCCCTCAGATGGGAGCCTGGAGGGCTGGGGTGAAAAAAACCTTGGTTCTTATCACGTCAACAGCTTTCATTTTGCTGCATCTCAAAGGGGACGTCTTACTGGGACAGGAGAAATAGCATTTGCTCAAATAATACCTAACATTCCTCTATGAAACTCCTAGTCACTCATTGGTCCTTCTGTTTACACTGCAGATTGTCGGGGTTAATAAAATAGGACTACTCTAAGAAAAACCTGGCTGACAATGATAATGATCAGAACCCTAACAAGGAACTTAGATTTTGTGGTTCCATCTCTGTATCTGCTTTACCAGACTCCCTATGTGATCCTGATGAGCATTTTCCAAGAGGAACGAATGACTGCTCCTTTTCACTTGGGAAGGATGAGGTGTGAGGAGATGATCCCACCCAGATTCCATACCCAGTGATTCGTGGGGCCAGGATTTATACTCAGGCACCCCTGACTCCGAATCAGCCTCTTAACTCATCCATCACCTGTCATTTCTTACCTTTAGACCTTCAAGTTTAGGCACCTGGCTGGAAACTCTTACTAAACAGTTAAGAAAAAAATCTTTGTTACCATCATCATGTAAGAATCAAGCCAAGGATTGTCAGTGATAGTTTTCCTCTGCTTTATTTATTTTTTATTGCAGGTACAATATTACATAAGTCATAGGTGTACAATAGAGTGATTCACAATTTGTAAAGTTTATGCTCCATTTATAGTTACTATAAATATTGGCTGTATTTCCCATGCTCTACAATATATCCTTGTAGCTTGTTTTCTACGTGATAGATTGTGCCTCTTAATCCCCTGCTCTTATCTTGTCTCTCCCCATTTCCCTCTTCCCCTGGGTGACCACTAGTTTGTTCTCTGTATCTGTGAGTCTGCTTCTTTATTGTTGTATTCACTAGTTTGTTGTAGTTTTTAGATTCCACATATAAGTGATATCATTACAGTATTTGTCTTCTTTCACTTAGCACAATGCCCTCCAACTCCATCCATGGTGCTGCAAATGGCAAAATGTCATTCTTTTTTATGACTGAGTAGTATCCGCTTGTGTATATATATATATATATACCCCATTTTCTTTATCCATTCATCTGTTAATGGACACTTAGGTTGCTTCTATATCTTGATAATAGTAAATAGTGCTGCTGTGGACATTGGGGTACACGTGTCTTTTCCAATTAGTATTTTTTGTTTTTTGGGTATATACCCAGGAGTGGAATTGCTGGGTCATATGGTAGATCTATTCTTAATTTTTTGAGAAACCTCCATACTGTTTTCCACAATGACTGGACTTCCAAGTTACATTCCCACCACCAGTGAACGAGGGCTCCCTTTGCTCCACCTCCTCGCCAGCATTTGTTATTTGCAGACTTTTTGTTGATGGCCATTCTGACAGGTGTGAGGCGATGTCTCATTTGGTTCTGATTTGCATTTCCCTGATGATTAGCGGTGTTGAGCGTCTTTTCAGGTGCCCGTTGGCCATCTGCATTTCCATTTTCCTCTGCTTTCATATACATATTAACCACAAGCCTGTTTTTGGATAGATCTACCAGTCATAACTTGATAAGATTGTGTTGGGAAGGATACTGGGATCCTGGTGGCAGGGCTGACGGGAAAGGGTACCAGTGGAGCTGGAGGAACCAATTTGGTTCTAGACAGGATTCCAAAGGTGGCAGGCAAACCTGTACTCAGAGGCCAGGGCGATTATGTTTGATTTGCATTTGTGTCCATGTCTCAGAAGACCTGATCTGGTGGGAGGTGGAATAGCAGGGGTCAGGTGTGAATGAGCAAGCGTTGCATAGGTCAATGATGACGGGGAAGAGAAAGGGTCTGCTGTGATGATTGTGTGAGTCCTGCCAGGCTTGGGGGAGCGCCAGTCGCACTTTTTGAATTTGGGGTCCTTGGGAGGAGAGGTCCCTAGGCGCACTCCGAGTATTGTAAATAGACACAGTCATCATTGACGTGTGGAATGTCCTAAGATGAAGCCAAGTTCATGACACGGCTCCTCTCCAAGCTCATTGTGTGTAAATCAGATGGGTGAGAGAGAAACTCCTGTATCAGGGCTGAACAAACCCACGGGGAAGGAGTGGGGCACTTCAGGACTGGCGGGTTCCTGGCCGATGTCAGCAAGGCCACGTGTAGACACTTGCCCTGGTGGAGATGGGGTTCCTCACCTGTGCTAGAGTCCGTCCGATGGCCTGGGAACAGGGAGGGCTGAGACTCTTCACTGAAGTAACCTCCTGCTGGAGGACGGCCCCCAGAAGAAGCCAGGAGGTGCGGGCTCAGGACTTCAGAGCCAGGTTGTGCACCGTCAGGGAAGCTGGCTCACCTGGGAAGCCTTCACTGGCCTTCCTTCTGAAATAGAACAAATCTAAACGCGGCAAACTGATCACGCGAAGCGTGGGGGAGGCGTCGAAACCCTGCTAGAAACAATTGATTTGGTGTGTCTTCTTGTACAAAGGCTGGGTTTGTTTTGTTCCAAGAAGTATCTGTATTCTGCTCGGTTTCCCCTTTGAATTGGCATGTTCTCTTCGACTGGGAAGTAACAGCGCGTTTCTGTCTCTCTCCTGAATTCTAAAACGCAGGGTAACTTCCAGCAGTCTGTGCAATCAAAATGAACCTGACCAAAGTCATTAGAAAATACTGGAAAATGCTGTTTTTAAGTAGCACCTGATTCTCTGTCTCTCTCTTTTTTCTTTCTTTGTTTTCTCAGTAGGGTCGGTGGTTCTCACCTGGGAGTGATATATGATTTCAGGGCCACACTCGAGTGTATCAGGATGGCTCATGGTGTCCTGGGCTCTGGGAGATACCGTATCTGGGAGCATGCCTGCGATTCTGGAACAAGGAGCCAGCGGTTGGAGGAGAGTGAACTGGCTGAAAAAATAGCTGAGGTATGTGGTGTTGGTCAGAACTGGATGTTAACGGAGAGCAGGTATGTGATGGACTCCCCTGCACGGCCCAGGGCTGAGCGTGGTGCCTTTCTTACTGATGCTTTATTCAGTGAGTGAGTGAATTCAGGAACATAGGGTCCAAATTCCAGAACGCTTCTTGTGATCTGGATGGTCCTTCTGCCTTGTCTGGGAGTGGCCAGGCAGTTCACAGTCTGGCCCTGGGGTGGCCTTGCCCTGCGCTGATTCCTTTGGGTGTTGAAGGCTTTGATGTCCTTCCTTTCATCGGGGTTCCTCTGCAAGGCTGCACGGTTTCTGGTGTTTCGGAGTCAAGATTGTTCTGTTTGTCTGTTACTGTATAGCAAGCTATCCCCAAACCTAGTGACTTAGTTTAATATATATAAATGTGTTTCATTATATTTAAGGATTTTATGGGCCAGGAATTCGAGCACGGCCCAGCTTGGGGTCTTGTGTTGCCTGTGGTGTTGACTGGGGTTTCTTTTACATCTGGCAGATGGGCTGGTCTGGGGGGTCCAGGCTGGTTTTCCTCCCATATTTGGTGCCTGATCTGGGATGGCTTGGGCAGGGCCCAGCTCCCACTGTGAACAGGACACCTACGTGTGGTCTCTGCAACGTGGCGGTCCCAGAGAGAGCAGGAAAGGGACTCATCAGTTTTTTTAAGGCTGGGCATGTATACCAGCTCCTTCCTTCCTTCCTTCCTTGCTTTCTTTTTCTTTCTGTGTTTCCTTCCTCCCTCCCTTCCTTCCTTTTTTCCTTCTTTCTTTCTTCTTTTTACTTAAAGAATACTCTATTACTTTCTGTAATCAAACTCATGTAGATAAAAGCTTACATATTTAATACAATGCAGTACCCCCTGTACAAATGGAAAACATTCTGTTTAACATTTCTAGACCAATATGACTGTTAATTTCTGTACAGTGCCAACCCAACACGGTACACCTGCGATACTTTTTCCAAAGTTGACAGCACAGCTAGTTTCCAGAAATTCAAATTCTATATATGTATATGTAGAATTTATTTACTTTATTTATGTAAAAAGACCAGTGGCAGTATGTTATGCATCAGTAGCAGCAGCTGCTTTTCCAGGCTCTGCAGTCATCCGAGCACAGTTATAGAGACTTTAAGCACACTCCAGTTTAAAAAAAAAACAAGCGATAAAAAACAAAACCCTAGAAGACAGCAAAGTTCTGCTACTGTTGTGGTACCTGGCACTATTTTTTTTTATTAGCTTTTCAGTCATCATCTGGAAAGAAAACATTCTGAAATAACATCATTAGAAACAGCTCTGTTGTGGGGTAGGTGTATAGCTCAAGCGGTAGAGCACGTGCGTGGCATGTGTGAGGTCCTGGGTTCAATCCCCAGCAACTCCATCAAATAAAATAAATAAATTACTTCCACTCTCAAAAAATTAAAAAAAAACTGCTCAGCCCCTACTAATTTCATAAGGCAGGTACAAGATACTTGACAGTCACAGAGCTTTAAAACAGCGCTGTCCTACATCTGTAATACTAGAGGATATAATTAAAAAGGCATTATTTGAGACTTGCTTTTACTTTTCTAGCAGAGCCAGCCCTTTTACTTCTGTTATATCAAGACAGCCCACCTAGATTCCCAGGGAGAGGACATCGACCCCCACTTTTCCAAGGTAGGAGTGTCCAAGAATTTGTGGCCATTTTAATTTGATCACAAATAACCTCAAATTAAAAATATGTCATGTGGGCCAAAAGGAGGAAACAGTCCAAATGCCCATCCATGGATGAGTGGATAAACAAAATGTGGTCAATTCATTCAATGGAATATTATATAGCCATGAAAAAGGAAATTCTGACCCACTCTACAACAAGGATGAACCTTGAGGGCATTATGCTCAGCGAAATAATTCAGACACAGAAGGACAAATACTGTGTGATTCCTCTTATATGAGGTACCTGGAGTCGTCCCAGTCACAGAGACAGAAAGCTGGGTGGTGGTGGCCAGGGGCTGGGAGAGGGAGGGAAATGGGGAGGGATTATGTAAAGGAGACCTAGTTTCAGTTTGTGAAGATGAAACAGTTCTAGAAGGATGCTAGTGATGGCTGCACAACAGTGTGAATAATTAATGCCACAGAGCTGTGCACTTGCATGTGATTATGGTTGTAAATTTTAGGTTTGTGTAGATTATCACAGAGATACAATTAAGTCAATTACTGTTGAAATATGAAAAAATACATGACAGTTCTCTGAATTTGAATGGTCTTTCACATCTCCATTAATGTCTCATTTTCCGAAGGGCTAAGGTCCTCAATAGTGTTTTCTTTCTTTCTTTTTTAAAATTTCTTTAAGGGGAAAGAGGCAATTATGTTTATTTATTTATTCATTCATTTATTATTATTTTTTTTCAAATGGAGGTGCCGGGGATTGAACCCAGGACCTTGTGCATGCGAGGCGCGTGCTCTACCCCTGGGCTGTACCCTCCCCGCAGTGTTTTCCTTTAGGGCTGTGAGTATCTCCTTAACATCCCTCTGAGCCTTCGCTGCTTCACCTGATCTTTCAAATATGGGATGAACTAGACCCACTGAAGCCAGTGGGAGCACAGATATTTCCGTCTGGGATAAAATGATTAGGTGATTTGTGAGTGTCATTTAAAAATTAAGTCCACTAAGGACTTTATCCCCAGGAAAATGTGTTCCTAAATTATTAATGCTGTTCTGTTGCCTTATTAAAATAAGTAAGGGAGAGTGAAAGAGAGGTACTGAGAAGTACTTCCGCTCGCCTGTCTCCGTGATCAGCAGAGTCAACCCGTGATGCCTCCCCAGCCTTGTCTGCTTGTATGCAGATGAGTTCAGTTTTGCTGCTCCCTGACAGAGTGACAGACCTGGTGGGTTTGAAGGAAGCAGTGGTAGCAATCTATCTTGCATGTAGATTTTCTGTTGTTTTTTCTCCTTTAGTGACGTGTGGTTGATTGCCCCGTATTCTTCTATAAGCTTTATATTGATAATTTTGTGAAAAATTTAAGTACGGCATGTGTTTGAAAAGTGCACACACCGTAAATGTCCAGCTCCATGTGTTTTCAGAAAGCGAATATATACTCATGGAAACTGCAGCTGGATGAGAAAGAAGGACACTTCCAGAATCCTAGAATCCTTGCTGTCAACAGCCACCCTCCCCATGGGTAGCCTTGATCCTGACTTCCAATACCCCAGATATGGTTTCCCCGCTTTTGAACGTTTTATAAGCAGAATCATACAGTCCTTTCTCCTTTGGTTTGGCTTCTTTTGCTCAGATTTATGTTTGTGCGATTCACCCACGTGTAGCTGGTGATTGTAGAATCATTTTATTCTCATTGAAATATACCACAATGTATTTGCTCTTGGGCCTTTGGGTTATTTCCAGTTTCTTGGTTCATATGAAAAGTGTTGCTATCAACATTCTTATACAAATCTTTTGATACGAATGCGCCTGGCTGGCTGTTGGATTTATGTAGAGACGTTGAATTACTAAGTCACAGGGTATGCAAATGTACTACTTTCCTTGTACAAATCAAAGAGTTTCCTAAAATGAGTCTTATCAGTTTATATTCCCACCGTAGTGGAAGGGCTCCCTTTTCTCCACATGCTCTCCAGACTTGGAACTATCAGCCTTTTTCGTTTTAACCATTTTGGTGGCAGGCTCGTGGGATCACACTGTGCTATTGACTTGCCAGTTAGATAACCACTTTCATATCATGCATGTTCAAGCAATTTGTCCATTTTTTTCCTGTTGGATTGTCTTCCCTTTCCTTATCAATTCACAGACATCTAAAAATATCTTCTGGATGCAGATATTTTATTAAATATATTTATTGCAAGTATACTCTCCTACCCAGGTTCTTGGCTTTTCACTCTCTGAATGGTGTCTTTTGAAGAACAGAGATTCTTAATTTTAATGTACAGTAATATAACATAGTTTTTCAGTTTTTTCTTTACATAGCACTTGTGTGTGTGTGTATCTTATTTAATATAGTTCCCTACCTCAAGGGTAAGAAGAGAGTGTCAGGTGTTTTTTAAAATATCTTTATTGTCTCATCTTTTACTTTTAGGTCAGCAGTGTTAGGATGTGTGATAGTTCATTTGTTCTTGGATGAGATTAACATTTAAATTAGTGAAGTTTAATTAAGTAGATTGCCGTCCAGTGTGTGGGTGGGCCTCATCCAATCAGTTGAAGGTCCAACTAGGACAAACGACTAGCCTCCCTGAGCAAGAGGGAGTCCTCCAGCAGCAGTCCTCAGGCTCCACCTGCCCTTCTGGTTCTCTAGACATATCAACCCTGCAGACTTTGGATTTGCTAGCCTCCTTAATCACATGAGCCAATTCCTTATAACAAATGTCTTTCTGTGTATATAAATATACATATTCTGTTGGTTCTGTCTCTTTGATGAACTCTGACCAATACAGTGTGTGAGCAGAGATCAAGATACATGTTTCAGTGCCCTAAGGCACCTGAATTTAACCCTAGGGCTCCATAGGAGCCCAGTTTAATACTATTGCTCTAGAACTCATATCTAAAGCATTCTGTAGATGTATCATTTTTTTTTTTGCCTGCTTCTGGGTGCCCACTTTTCCTTATAGACAATTTGGAGTCTCTGCAGCATGGGAATGGGCCTTGGAATGGGAGAGACTGGCCTGTCCACCAAACACAAAACAAAGAGTGTTGACATGGAGATTTGAGGAAGGATGCCCCGTGGGAAAGCCTGATGAGGTGTGTCAAGGGTGGGAGAGGTGAGCAGTAATTAAGATGTGCTGACGGACAATCTGGAAAACAGGCCCTGGCTCAGTGACAAGGGGAGGGGCTCTGTGAGAGAGTTCCAGCCAGTGGGAGAGCTGTGGCCAGGTCAGCTCAGTGCTCACTAAAGGTTATTATCCTGGGACCCAGCCACACCCTCCGACTCCGAATCTTCCTATGTAATTCAGACTGTGTTCTCCGTGGTTTTCTGTGTTCATCTCTGTTCACTGTGCTGTAGAGAGAAGAACGCCAGTGGAGTAGCTGGTTGTCTCTGAGATGCAAGCTCAGTCGGGCAGTGCTAAGTTGGAGCAGACACAGAG